AAGAGAGAGAGAGAGAGAGAGAGAGAGGGAGGGTGTTGGGTTTTTTTGTTCCATCAGTTATAGAAGAAGAAGAAGGAGGGAGAGAGAGAAAGAGAGAGAGAGAGAGAGAGAGAGAGGGAGGGTGTTGGGTTTTTTTGTTCCATCAGTTATAGAAGAAGAAGAAGGAGGGAGAGAGAGAAAGAGAGAGAGAGAGAGAGAGAGAGAGAGAGAGAGACCCTTTGACATTAAATATTTATATTTTATTTTTATTATTTTTTTAAATAGAGAAAACCTCATTAATGGTCCCTAGGTATTGAAATGACGAAAATACCTCTCACTTAACGGTAGAAAGTTGACGGAGTTAGACGGAAGGACTAAACATTAAAAGTTTTGAAAACACAGGGACCATCTGTGAGGTTTTTTGAACTTAGGGCCTAAACTTGATATTTTCGAAAACCACAGGGACCATTTTTGAAGTTTTGTCTTAATTTTATAAAACATCATATTTTAATTTTTATTTTAAGCACACATTATTCAATATTTATAATATTTATCAAATATGTTTTTATAAAACTAAAAAGTCGATAAAAAATTATAATAACTGCTAGTTTTTTTTTAATATTTGACATTTATGTCATTTTGATAGACTTAAAATGCTTTTTAAATATATTTTTCAATACAAATATTGATTTTTGTTTTGTTTATTTAATATATTAGATTAATTAATCAAAAATAATAAAAATATTGAGTAGATTATATGTAATATTATGAAAGATAAATAAGTGGCTAAATATATAAAATAGTGAATGAATAATAAAAATATTGGGTAGATTATATGTAATATTGAGTAGATTAACAATAGGAACAATGCAGCGGTATTAAGTTTGTTAGATAGAAATTAAGGTTCTTATTGGAAATACTTTTACAATTTCTATCCTTTATTCATGAATGGACCAACTAAACAGTTTACTTTTAAGATATGCATAAGTAATATAAAATACGATTTAGGCGTAGAAAACATTTAATTTTCATTTCATTAAATTTAATTGTCTACATGCTAACATAAATTTGAGCATCTATGCACTTGGGACATTAACCGATCAAGCTTTCTGTTTGACAAAACAAATCGTAATTCATAATCACTTGAAATCGTATTTATATGAATCCCTGTTTCCTCTTCTAGTCTTTGAACCTCGTTTGGGCTACGAACAACTTTGTCAAAACAAACATACCTACCACCACCACTATTGTTCATTTCCTCGTATACGTGTACATGTGCATCTGCTAATCTATCAACATCAACAGTCGCCAATAAACCGTAGTCATACATTTCTTGACCACCTGAACATTCTCATTAATGTTAGCTATGGT